TTTTTTTTTTTTTTTTTTTTTTTTGGTTAATGTCTCGTTGGTACTGACTTACACACAACAGTTCAGGCTGTATTGGCTATAAACTGCAATAGTGAGATTTGGCAAGAATCAAGAAGTTGGAACAGTTCTGACCAATGTATAAAGAAAAGATGATGGGAGACTGTAAGAGATATGCATTTTCTCTGCTCTCTTTCTGAGGATGTGTATTGGAAGTCTTTGAATTTATTGTTGACTTTGGAGGAATGAAGGTGGTAGAAGAGATTAGCAGAAGATAATATGAAGACGGAATAATTCTCTGCTGTGACATAACTTACATAAGGTAAAGGCTTGATTTGGGCTTAGACCTATTTCCTCATGAAAAGTAACAGAAAAGGAAACACCACTGACCACTGCTGGTTAAATTTTAAAAATCAAAATGGGCTGAGGCTATCATGATTGATGATAATGACTTGGGTGGGGTTCCAAGTCCAAACCGGTCAATAGAAACCCACCAGAATTAAAGGAGCAATCATCCCAATTGCAAAAGTAGAACCTGTATCTATTAATGCACATTGAATACAGTACTCAAATTCAACCCCAGATTCGAGGGCAATTTCCTTTGTCATTATCATAACATGAACATAACAGCTTGCTCTTTTGCCCCACATGTACCCCACAAATATCTGAGTTTGATTCTTTCAGATAAGTGGATTTTTGAAATCCCTAAGACCACATAACAGTTATTACAATTATAAAATGTAAGGGCAGAAGCTGCAGAACATATATGTAGAAATGGTGTCTAGTTGAATGGAGAGTGAAATTCATTCATTCAAGGTACATACTTACAATAATAAGATAATTCTCAATAGAACATTCAGCTTCCCAAATATGCATTGAAGAGCGAGCTTCCTATCATCTTACACTCATCAAAAACACCAACCTGACAAGAAAGAAGAAGCAAAACCAGAAGGATTGTACTGAAACTAATCTGCATTTGCCTTGTGTTTTCTCCTTGATCTGCTGTATAATTTTGAAGGCGGAGAGGGAGAGAACTCATAAGGGAGTAGTGGGAGATCCATCTCCCCTTTCAAGATCCTTACAATCTCTCCAATGTCTGGCCGCAATTCAGGCATTTTCTGTAGGCAACTAAGTGCCAAGTTTATACACAAGCTGGCTTGCTCCTTGTTATACTCATCTTTCAGTCTCTCATCTACAAGTTCTAATACGTTTCCAGATTGAGCTAAGTGCCTAGACCAGCTTATCAAGTTTGCTTTTTCAAGCTTCATGGGTGAAGCAAGAACATGCAATGGCCTTCTACCAGATACAATCACAAGGATCAAAACCCCTAAACTGTATATATCTGCCTTCTCCATCAAGTATCCACATCCACCATACTCTGGTGCAACATAGCACAGAGTTCCCCTCATGCTTGTCGTGCTGCTTAGTTCTCGACTAAAAAGATCTCCACTCCACATGTCACTTCCAACAGAATTGTTGTTCTTCTTCCTCCATCCTCTTCTGAAACTGAACTCTCCATTTGCATCACAGTCATCTTGATTCTGTTCCCCGAACTTCTTTCTCCTATGGAAATAAAACCGTCTACCAACATCAAAATGTGGAATTTTAAAGCCTTTCTTCCACTTTGTCTCAAGATTTTTCATCTTACTTCCCTTCCTGCTCATCTCAGCCAAGTGCTCTTCTTTCCACCATTCCTGCATCTTTCTATGCTTCTTTTTTTGATTTTTTCTACTCTTTGATTCTTTCTTCTTAGAACCCTTATTCAAAGTTTTTTGAACATGGGGTTGATGAACATCATCATACTTCTCCAACTGAGTTGAATTATCCAACCGAATTTTCTCCAGGTTGGCCTTTTTCGACTCATCATCCCAATCAGGATTTGTTGATGGACATATCTGGCTCCCAATCCACTCCATAACATAATCCTTACTACATAATTCACCACTTCCATCCTGCCTCCACCACCAATCCTTTCCCCATTGTTTTGTACTTGCTGCCTCATCAGCAACCAAATTAGCACTACAGTTCAACTCACTATTTTCAACACTACCAAACTCATCATCATAAGGCACAAACTTATTATTCCAATCATCCCCTCCAACATCCATACTACTAATCTCCTTCCCCTTTCCACTCACACCCTTACAATCACCTTCACGCGCTATGCTAGCATTATAATTGAAGGAATTCAGGTTCAAAGAACAAACATTATAACACTTTTTACTGTTTTTGGATGAAGAAGAAGCTTGTAACGCAAGAGCAAAGTCTACCTCATTATTACTCTCCACAGGAGTGCCGATTGCTGGAGTGTGTTCACCTGTCCCTCCCAAATTCCCAGACAGCTCTTGGCTCTTCCATAGCTCTTGACTCCTCCCCAAATCTTGGCTGAACAAATCCACCCCAAATTCACCTTCCACCTTTATCCTTGACAGTCCAAAATCAGAAAGCTTGGCCCTAAAATCTGAATCCAGCAGGACATTACTAGGCTTAATATCCCCATGAATCACTGGAGGGTCGCACCCAAAATGCAAAAACTCAAGCGCTTTAGCCACATCAAGAATGATACCAAATCTCCTCTGCCAATTCAAGCTTAAATTCCCATCTCCAAACAGAGATTCCTGCAGACTTTTGTTGGGCATATACTCATAAACCAGCAACCTCTTGTTCTTTTCAACACAATATCCCAAAAGGGTCACCAAAAATGGAGATCTTAACCCTCCAAGAATCTGCAACTCATTCTGAAACTCCCTCTCAGTCTGCAGAGACAGGGTATCCAGTCTTTTGATGGCGAAGAGCTTCCCATCTTGAACAATGCCACGAAAGACAGTACCAGAACCACCTTTCCCAATAACATTGGCCTCATCAAAATCATTTGTGGCATTCTTAAGCTCCTTGTATGAGAACCTCTGGAGCTTCAGAGGAGCACTAGAATCAAAAGGGATTGTTCTTGCACTGTTTGAAAGAGAACTCCATAGATAGTACAGAAAGTAAAGAATGGTAAACAGAATAACCAGAGAGGATGAGATGATGAGGATCAAGAAGATTACTCTTGTTCTATTGACCAAGGAGCTTGAGCTTGGAGATAAAGGTCTTGAAGGCATTTTCTTTTCTGGGTTTGGTCAAGAAAAGATGCAAATGGGTTCTTCTTCTTCTCCCTTTCTTCCTTTCCCCTTATTTTTGGTTTTTCTTCATTGCTCTCTGTATCCAATGTGGGAATGCTTTACAGTTGGATGATGAAAAATGGGGATTGAATCTTGATGATGTCTTTGTGTTTGATGATTATGATTTGGACAATTTTTAATGGGATTTTTTGTTTGAACAGTGTGCTGAGTGATTAGGAAATGAAGATTGTGAGAAAAAGGGGTGGAGGGGGTCCCAAGGTGCTTTTGACTAAGGAATGTGGAATTCTGGATTTTACAGTCCTTGCTGAAGAGGTTTACTTCGCAGGCGAAATGTAGCGCGTGGTGAAGACAGCTTGTTATGAGGCTCATGTGCAACAGATTCTACAGGTGGAGTTGGGGATGGTAGTGTCTGATTCTCCGGCAGTTTCAGTGTCTGAATCTCATAGGTTCTATCTTGCACTTTGCAATAAACTTAAGCATGCAGTGGCACAAGATTTAAGCAATCATAAAATGAAGGTGGAAATTAGCAAAACAAGAAATAGTATTCAAAGTTTGATCATATGTTAAGAGCTTCAACATTATGCAAAATCATTAAGGTTTTTGTTATCATTTTAAAAACTTGATTCTTTAAAGAATTTTGCTTAGCATGAAAAGATTTTGCCCTTTTCAACTACTAGATCTAGAGGATATGCTTGGTTGTGCCAGATAATATTGAACTGAAAACCTTATGATGGATTCTTATTCTTCTATTATAACTTCTTATAAAGTAAAAATTACCAAGATCTTAAACTTGGGACTTGAATCATTAGATTATATTTATTTGATAATTTATTTTTTTATGAAATGAAAAAAAAGAAAAGAAAAAAGGGTGCTATGATTACTTTTAATGGTATCCTAAACATGATGAGTATGTGTTGAAGTTGGTTTCAATGAGTTAGTTATGGAAGTAAGAAGATGAAGATGTAATGTTGGGATGTCATTTTCCTCATTTTAGAAGTAATGCTGCTTGTTTCTCTTTGGATGCAACCTAACTATAAGTATAATTATAGATGTACCAAAGAGGGATACTTAAAAATAGAAAATAATACGATTAAATATGATATAATTAGAACTTGTTGGATCAATAAATAAGAGATACTTGATTCAAATTTTAAAATTAAACACTCAAAAGAATTAATTTCTCTAAATGTACTATATTAATGTAGAAACTATGCTTATTAATTTTAAAATATACAAAAATTAGGTCAATAACAACTTGACCATCCAAAGGAAAAAATTGACATTATTAGAGAAAATCTCACCTAAGTTTAATACATCAATTAATGCGAATTGTCAAAGCGTGTTTCCCTTCCCCATTCTTCAAAATGCTTGACTTCAAGTTTTGGACTCAGTTTGATGTTTTCCAAAGGTAATACGCCATTTTAAAAGTCATCTTTTTATAGTTTGTTAACCTCTCTTTATATGGTGGACCACGTGAGCGCCCTATAGAGACAAAGATGTTGATTTGTATATTGAGCCATTTCGCCAATTCTTCCCACTCATATAGATTCGTCTCTCAAATTTTGGATTTGAAGTAGAAATTAAGGATTTTTAATTCATTCCATGCACTAGATCATCTTTCTCTCTTCATTTATTTTTTCTTTATTCTTTAATATGTATGGTTAGGTATTTTTCGAAATCAACGTTCTAGCAGTGAATGTTAGGCCAAACATGATTTCTTAAAAACATTTTGACTTTTAGAAAATCTAAAAATTTCATTTTCATATTTTTAACTTTTTTAACATCATCATAATTATTTTTTATTTTTCAATCAAATTATTAATTCAATTGCCAATTTAACAAATATTAATATAAATTTTTTTATCATAATATATAATAAAAAATATTTTTCAAGTTGACTATTTTAGAGTCTGTTTAATGCAGTTTGTTAAAGGTTTTATTTTTTTTTATATTATTTATGAATGATAAATTAAAATTTTTATTGTAAGAAAAATTTAAAAATTACTTTTATAAATAGAAAATTAAAATTTTTATTTATGAAAAGTTTGAATTTGAAATTTTTGATCTTTTACTGTATAGTGTCTTTTTAAAATTAAAAAAATATTTAAAAATATAAATTTTTTGAAAAAAAATTTACACATATAAAATATAAATAGTATCAAAAAATTGAAACATTTGAGAAATTATACTAAACACACATTAGATTGGCATTGAGATTATAAGAATATATTTAATAAAATAAAATGTTTTAACTTTCAAAATCACCTTTTAGTGATTGCTTATCTACATCATACTACAACATCATTCATCATTCTCTTGTACAATTTTGATATACAAAATGTATACTTTTGAAAAAAGGTTACAGAATGTGCAATCCAACTTTACTAATGAAAGTATATCCCTCTAATCTGAATATCCGATCAAATCATTCATCTTTATCTTTATTTTTTCCATTGTCTACTTAAGCTTGGGTTGGGCCAATGTATATATATATATATCACCCCCCATATAACAAGTGGCCTAGCATTGGGACCTATGACGCTGCCCACCTTAACTTTAAGCGACTGATTTGCATTTGCGGTGCTGTTCTTTTGTTCTCGTCTCCATCCTCTAATGTTGCAGTTTTCTTTTTCACAACTTTACACGTGTAACGAGGAAATTGTGGTGTATTGCGTTTCAAAAGAAGGGAAGAAAAAAAAATGGCGCATGAAATGTTGCTATATCTTTTGTAATAATGTTGTCTACAGCACAAGCTTTGCTTTTTAGTGCTCAGCAGGTAGCCAGCAACATGACATGGGATAGATTGATACATGGTAGCGGTAGTGGTGGTGATGGTGGGGTGTTGAGGGTCATGGTTGCGGCCTGGACCTGTGCCCGTGGGTCCTTTTGACCAACAGGGGAGGTGGGATTTTGAGGGTTGTGGCTTGGGGCTTTGGATACTCCCAAATAGACAAAGGGACGTCAGAATGAGAGAGGCTTTGGATGCTCTTTTTTGTTTTCTTTTGTTTTTTTATTTTTTTCTTCAGCTTTTAGTTTTAGGTTTGTGTTTTCATA